CTAAAATTTGTTGATGATGAAAACGTTCCCGATAACGCTCTACAATTTCGAAAAGTGGCTTCACATGGCTGTGAACTAAATAAATATATATTCAATGATTCAGGTGGCAATTGTTTATTCATCACTAGTATTGCTATATATGTTAAATTGTGTGCATTTAATTCAATGGAGAAAAACGTTGGTTTTGTGATAAAAAATTTTGTTTTGTCCGTCTTTGTATTCTTCACTGCTGTTTTTGAATTATTTAAAGGAGTGAATGAATGTGTGTTAAATGAATTATACTGAATCCACATATACCAGAATCGACACATAAAAACGGTTATCCACGCAAAATAAATACGATCACTAACAGATGTTGTTTTATCGATATATGCTAATATTGTTAAATGAATAATTGTTAAATAAAAACGCGTTGCTGTTGTATTTGAATTTTCAGTTAACATACTTAATACGTCTTTTGAAGATATTTTTAAACATGATGTAAAATTTTGTTTATCTTTTGGAAAAATATCAGACTTAACCAGATTATGATCAAGTTTCGATGAATTATCGATTAAATCTTCTAAATGTTTAATATTCACTTGTTGAGTTCCAATTAATAAAGTAGCTTTAGCTGACAATATTCTGTTTCGCAATTTTGTGCATAAATGTATCGGATCTTGCATGAAGAGTAATATTTGTTTGGGCTGTAGAAAAAACCACGATGACCATTTGGCTGGAACATGAATTTCAAATAAATTATCATCATTATTGTCAGTTATTGGAATGTTTGGTAAATTAGCAAAAAATCGACTAACAAGTCTCATAGATTTCAAATACTTTGCGTCACAATCCGTGCTGAATCCAATAATACGAATTGATTCTTTTGAACATTCATTATAAATATATAACCAGCGTCGAATTATGCCAGTAGATATTACTTTATTGTTTGTACCATACGCAGCTAAAAAGAGAACGGATACGTGGAGAAATATAAATAAAAAAGTATCAGGGAACAATACCCAGTATGAACGGCGCTGATTGTGATAAATCAGTTGTTATTGGTTGAATCATATGTAAATTCAATAATGATGATTTTTCTGCTATTTTAAACCAATTTTCTAACATATGAAAATTATCTGTTTGGAAATAAACAGGCTGTGGTACCCCATTATTGAGTGGTGTGCAAAATCCAATAAATGAATTCGAGATACGGTCATAACTTATTTTTTTCACGACACTCGTACAATCTTCAGCACAAAATCCATGACGAGAATCAATTCTATTTAAATGATGTTTCAACGATTTAAATCTAAATTCGCATTCAGTTATTTGAACATTGGTGCATTTCATATAAGATTCTATTGTTGCTATTGATGGTATGGCACCAGGTAAATTAATTCTTACAAACTCATACGCGTTTCGGCCTGCCAATATGTACAATGATAATGCAAAACGTTTAACATACTCATTATATTGATAATTATTTTTAGATCGTTTCAAATTATTAACAATATTCTCAATGAACGCTTTCATGAATGTATTGCCCTCATTATTATGTGCATCAACTATTTGTTCCAATAAAGCACCATTTCCAGTATTATCATTTGATTGAATTACATGTTTGTCTTCATTAACCTTCAATTTCAACGAATTAATCAAAAAGTCAAAACTCTCCCTCACGCCCGGTCTAATAATGTAATCTCCATTGTTCAAAGTAAATCCTACACGTTTTTTCAAATGTGCTAATTCATCACAATCAAGATACAATATGTCTAGCGCATTTTCGACACACAATAATATTTGAGCAGAGTTTATCTCTTGTAATTGTAATATATCCACAACAATATCACTCGTTATATTACGTACATAATCAAAAAACTTTTGGTTCTTGTAAAACAAAATATCGGCTGGTGCATGTAAAACGTCACTCATCCTAAAATTATTTTGATCTAAAAAGGTTGGCATATTTGTCATCATACATTTTTTAGATGAAGTTCTGGGTTAATTTCTTCAAAAGCACCTGCAGCAACTTGTAGAGAAGTTGAGAGACTTCGGTTTGTCCAATGTAGAATATATATTGCGGACAAAATTCCAATTTAAAGTTTGACCAGAGTTTATTCAGTCGGAATCTAAATAAAAACATAATGCTGTAATGATCCATGAAAAAATTAATATTTTCTTATAATTATCCATTTTTATGATAGAAAAGGCAAGAAGGCTTGAGAAAAGGTCAAATTGAGGTATAAAATCATGCTCATAGTTCCTCATCATCATAGTTTCTCGTATTCCGTACCGACCTATCAAGGACTTGGACCTATCTCGCGCTCTTAATGAGAATATAGTTTGGATAATGGATCATCAGAGCAGTGTGTTTTTATTTAGATTCTGACTGGATAAACTCTGCTCAGACTTTAAATTAGACCAAATTTGAAGTTTGTCCGCAACATATTTGTCAATCTCCAAAAATCTATGAAACAACCATAACTTCGAAAAAATTGTGTTACAGTCTTCTTCTTAATCTGTCGGTATCCTGTTTAACTTTAAAAACTAAAACAACTGTAAAAACTCTTTAATTTTTGAATAACGTTTTACTCTAAAATCAGTACCTCTATAAAACCAGTAAAAACACAAGCACATAAAAAACTTCTTTTCTTTTCTTCTCTTTCTCCTTTCTTTTAATTTCTTGATTATGAAGAAGAAAAACTAAAGAACAGAGAAGTTTTCTCCTCTAAAAAATGTTCGTTTTTTTCTTTAGTATTTTATATACATTTATCAATGTTACGCTGTCCTTCTACTTTTTAATTTTTGTTGAGAAGAACTATCATTTTTCCTTTTTGATCTTGTTGGTATCAGTGGTGGTGATAGCAATGTAGATGAAGATTGTTGCTGTTGATATTTTTATTGATCATTTCTCTCTTTTTCTTTTTTACACATCATCGAACACTTTGTTCCTCGAATATGTTTATAATCCGGTGACAATTGAAATGATTTGATATCTGCACGTAATGGTAAAGCAAGTTTAGCTCCGCAATCACATTTAATATGA